ATCATTTATCGGAAAAATTCAAAACCCATAAAAATTTGCTTGCTCTAAGAACTATAAATTGATAAAAGTTATTGGATCTCACGAAATATATAATTGAAAATAAATTTTAAAAAAAAGAACTTTAAAGAAATGAAAACTAAATATTGGCTAAATATTTACCAACCAAGATGAGTTACCCCGAGTTACTGGACCATTTCATATCAACAACCCCGAGGTGATTATCTACCATGATCAATATTTTTGCCGAGAACTAATTTTTCGTAACTTCTATTTTTTTATTCTTCTGACATGACATGGAAGGACATTTTTGATTTTGATAAAATGGAAGAATGTGATTTACCAATTAATTAATTGACGAGTGTTAAATAATTAATTAATTGAGTTGCTTATTAATATGCTTGAATTAATTAATTGGATTAATTGATTCATGTACTAGATTTAATGAATTTGATTAATTAAATATTTGACAGGGTTAAGTTTAACAGATGAACCAGCTCGTTTGGACTTATATTAATAGGCTGCTCGTGTTTGAAAATTGTATGAAATAATTCATTATTCTTGCTAGCACAAGAAAAGAAAACCATAGTCGTTATTCTTGTTCTCTATGTGGATTACCATTGAAGGCTGGACAATTGGACAGCTTGAATCGTAGATCGTGATTATTTGAGTTTAAGAAAGGCAAAAGAGTTTGTGGAATTCATCAAATGTATAATTTTTATCACATTTTTCATCTAAACACAATGCAAATCCTTAGTGAGAATTGAAATTATTTTATTTTCCGCTATGCATGTTTAAGTAAATTCCCAACAGTGGTACCAGACCTACTTTGTGTTTATTAGAAAATGTTTTGCATCATGTAACAATTAAAAGTTGATTGTTGTTGTTTTCTTGTTTCTACCAATTTTGAAAAATTATTTTTTATTTGTAAAATCTGTTTAAAAAAAAAAAAAGAAGGAATCAGGAGGTTATGCAGGCATCAACCAACACCGCCTGCGAGGCAGCAGGGCGAAGCTTCACTGCACGCGGGGGCGATGGCGCCGCCCGTCGCTGATTGCTGCTACTAATAACAGCAACCGCCTACTGCTGCTAACAGCAGTAACTGCAGCGTACGATGCATATCTAGGACCAATGTGACCTAACTCTCTACAGTGATAGCACGAAAGGGACAAAACTAGGACCAATGTTATGTGGATGTTGGCGTATATTCCTAGGTCGACGGGTCCTACGCTGTCTAGTAGGCCTCTGTTTAACAAATCTCTTATTTTTAAATTCGAGGTTAGACACATGTTTGGGCTGGTCAGTTATAGGGACAAACGTCGTCTTAGAAGTACTAGCAATATTGCTCTCTTTTCCTTTAAATCCTAGACCGCCTTTGTTTCCAGTCGGCTTGCCCATTCCTAGAATACTATCTAACCTTTTAGAACCACTAGTGAAGGCAAGTAATTGAGACTTAGAATATTCTAGATCGCTCAATAGGTTCTTAACCTGGATATCTAAAGTCTTTCTCTCTGTGGCCAACTCTCTAACTTTTCTAGAGGATTTCTCGAGCTCATTGGTGAGATTTCTAACCTGAGTCTCTAAAGTTTCATTCATAGATTTGAATTCACTCAGGATCGAGGTAAATTCTTTAATGTGTGCAACTAACTTCTCATTCTCCAATTCTAGTTCCCTATCCCTTACACTCAAGGCCTTATTCTTAGACAAAATCTTAAGACTCTCTCGATACATTTTATCATAGGCCTTTTGGATATCTTCCTCACTCACAGACTCATCACCAGAATCATCATCACTATATAATGAAGTATTCATCTAGACTGTAAGGTCAGGACATGTTTAGGCTCTGATACCAATTGAGAAATGCGAGATTCTTCGACCCTACTACACCTAGAGGGGGGGTAATTAGGTATAAATACGGAATTAAGACTAATTAACTAGCAACAAGTCACAAGTTAATTATGTCTAGGTGATTAGTTAAACAACTCAAATTATCCTATCTTTGAATACTGTAGTTTATATGATCAATAAACAATAAATAATGAAAGCAGTAAGTCACACCAATATGATGACGGAGAAATCCCAATTGGGTAAAAACTCCGGGACCAAACTGTTACCTCCACTATGGACAATGTGGATTACAGTGCAATTCCAAACTAGTTCCACTAGCTGTTGTAAACCCTGCAACTCCAAGATCTACTGCTCATTCCAACCTTGCGATCTGCTACCGTAGATACTGTCTAGCAAACCTGCTAGATCTCCCGATCTACCTCCTGTAGCTTCCAAGTTCTGATGTACTTACAGACTCACAATCTTATACCTCCTATAGCTTCCAAGTTCTGTTGTACTTATGGACTTACAATCTTCTACCAAGATATGCTGTAGCAGTCTCACGTTCTTCTGCACACGTCTCTTCCAAGTGGATACCGATGAATCACCTATTCCATCTCTTCTTCCCGCGCTTGTAGTCCAACCTCTCTCAACCTCCAGAAACTTCTGAAATCCAATTGAGAAAGTTCCTTCTTATGACCAATAAGAAATAGGTGGTGTTTCGGTTTAAGGAATTGATATTTTTCCAAAAACGTGTTGCTGGATCTCAAGAATCAAAGGATAGAATCAATGTAAGAATATCTTGGATCTTCAAAGGATGATAGTAAGAAGTAATATAATGAACAACCACACAAAAATCATACAAGACCCTTTGTATTTATAGTTGCAGGTGTATGAGTAGTATGGACCGTGTAAAACTCTCCAAAATCGCGAACTAGGGTTAGTCGCATAATAATGTCGCTCGACCGAGGGGGACATGTCGCTCGAGTGAAGGGTCTGTCGCTCGAGCGACGCCTAGGCGAGAAGTGTGCGACAATGGTTCTGTTTCTGTCGCTCGTACGATGGCCAGGCGTGAAGTTAGCGAAATTTCGGTGCCGTGTTTCTCCTTATTTCATGCTCAAACCCTAGACCTCAGAACCCAATTTATACAAATTGCACCCTAGGTCTTTGACTTTTACAACACATTACAAAATAGTCATTTTTTCCACAGAATCGCCAACACTAAAAAACTAACAGTTACATATGCAGCATTTTACCTAATGTGAGTTTTTCAACACTACAAATAAACAACTTATACATTCCAATGGAGCACAAGTATTACTAAAACCAAAATTAATGTATATGAAATCACAAACAAGAGAATTAATCGAAAAACAACAAGTCTCGAATTATAAACTATAATTCAAAAGGTCTTATCATCATCCAATGCATAAAAGTGTTTAGCCTAGCATGATTATATGAAAATGACACAAAAGAGAGGGAAATGACATCACCCGAGGCTAAGAATGTAGAGAAGACTTGAAAATCTCAATTCTTCCCTTGAATCTTGACCCCAAATTATGCAATTTCGTTCCTTGAATGTAAAAATCTCCAATTATTGCATTTCTATGACAAAATCTAGGTTTTCTTCGTTTTAGACGGATTTTACAATGTATATGGTGTGAAAAGACGCTAAAAAATAGGAAAAAGCTCGTTCTGTCCCCTTTTTAAGCCTGGGTGCACACTTAGTACAAACCAAGGCGTGCACCTAACTTGTTTTGGGGGTGAGGGTGCGTGCCTTGCTTATTGAATTGGGTTTTGCCCTTGAAGTTTCTCTAGGGTCTTTTTTCGTCCTTTATTAATTCTTTTTAGTTCCTTCACGTATTTTCTTGTCCAATTGAGTCCTATCACTTTTGAGTCTTCCTTATTTGTCCTGAGCCAATCTTTGATTATTTGCGATTTAGTCCTTAAACTTTGGATTTGCTTCACTTTATCTCTTTTCTTGTGCGTTTTCTCCAATTCCACTATTGTCATCAATGTTTACCTGTAAATTAATATTTACATAAAATGAGGCCATATTTCTTATAATTCGTCAATAAATAGTCTAATTTAATGGTCCAAATAAGTGTATAAAATATACTTATCAAACACCCCCAAACTTTAAACTTTGTTTGTCATCAAACAAACTTGGTTAGATGGCTTACCGTTAGTCTCATGATTGGGCTTTCGCACCATTACTATGAATAGTATCAAAATTACATAATTGAAATTAATTTATGCTCATTCAATGCAAAACTCGACATGTATGAGCGTATACTCATGTAACACATCACAAGCTCATGATTGGTTCAATTCCCAACTCTCAATAGTTAAATATTTACTTTCTCCATTTGTGAGATGTATACCCCAAACTTATGACTTTTCACTCATTTTTCCCGAGATGTGTTTTTAAGTTGTAATTTAGATGATTCTAATCCTTACCCACTCTAGTTTGGATAGATTTCGCAAGTACAAGTTAACACTTCAACAATTAAGGATTCTCCTTTAGTTTTGATTTCTTTAACCCCTAAAATTCA